GGCAGTGTATCAGCCACGTAAAGTGATAAATAAAATATCATACTCTAGTGCCCTATAAAAGGTTGATATCTGAGCGCTGCTATGGTAGCGCATAACATCTCCGGTGCGACATTTATTCATACCTGAAGCAAAGAAAGAACAGATCGTTAAAATTGCAATCGCCCACGCAAGTCCGTCCACGAGCAAATCCACGATCCGCTAGTGAACTTCCCAGCCAACCATTATCACATGTATATACAGCTAATTGGACCGTTGATCCTTTTTGAAGATGAGAGCTTTTTAACAAAGAAATATAAAAGACTTTGTTTTCCAAGGGTTTTTGAGGTTACTGAATTTTATTCTGGTCTCAAAATTTTTTAATTTAAATTAATTAATTTAAATTTTTTTATTTAAATTAAAAAAGTAATGTCATTTTATACTTTATCCGAGAAATATCCTTTGGACGTTTAGAAGATATAGAGTCATGCTTGAGAAGTTTATGCTATATGGAATGAAATTCGGTTTTAGTAGTATCCTCTCTCTCTATTGAAGGAAAATCTATAAATATCATAAAGCTCATAATCAGAATTTGAAAGTCAAACTGGGTATCAACATTAACTGTTTGCATAGCACTAATGTCCATCAAATAACGCAAAACTTAATGTTATTTCACAATTACAAATTCCCTAAAATCAAATTTTGTAGCAATTAAAACATTTCGAAAAAATTCTATCTGTCATATATTAAATCCATTATTTAAAACTTTGTTTTTATTTTTGACCTCGAATATTTAAATAAAACATTATCAAATTATCCTGCACACCAAGTTTCATGAAAATCGAGCGAGCAGTTTACAAAATAAAAAAGGAAGTCGGTATGCCCAAACGGGTCCACAAAGAAAAATCTGATTTCACGGTTGAAAAGTCCGGACGAGGGCTATTCACGCGACATAGCAAGGGAGAGGTGGTTGCATTTTGCCGATTTGCGTGCTTGTGTAACTTCTTGCGCGCCTTTTGCGAACGCTATGCACGTTACGCTCGCGGCCGGACAGTCGGCGTTTATTCCTGCCGTATTCTCGCGGTAACATTCGCTGGCGTCCCCGTTGCATCCTCTATCTTCAAAGGCATGGGATAATGGAATTGCTATTTCAGTGCGCAAACATTTATTCCCGCGGATACCCGTTCATGTTATAATTTCTGGGATGACATGCATGCGATGTTTGGTGCCCCGGGGGCGAGCTCGCGCATTTTGTCGGCCGTGGGAGATGATTACTTTAAAGAACGCCGGAAGCAACTTTGCGCTTTTTTTTTCCTTCCTAATTCTTCCCCGTCATTCGCGAGAACTCGCCCCACAAAGAAAGTGCGCCGATCGCGTAATCGAATGTTACACTCGGGAAGAGCGTGCAGCGCGAAGCTCAAACAGTGGCGTGGCGGAAAAATGTTAAGAATGCTTCGTCGATTTATTTAATGTCAATAATGTCTGCCTCGATTCTCCGCATAGTATAATGTAAAGGGCGCGCAGCGATGCAACAACGTTACACAGACTTATCTTAATTAACTAGTCGATTGTTGTACAACATGTTGTATGTATAACACATTGATACTCGAAGTATATATGTCGCAAAAAGGACAATAATAAAAAAGCGTTTAATAAATAATGATACCTTTCTGTATTGATCTGTAAGGTAAATGTCTCAATAATTGAATACATCCAGAGATTGAAAAATCAATAATGTCTTTATAATTAGATATTTGTCAATAACAGTAAAAAAAAATAGCAAATCAAAAAGAAAAAATTAAATATTTTGTATTAAAACTAGTAATAAAATCATATAAATTTGATTACAAATTATTATGAAAAAATCATTTTAATTTTTACAGGAACAGTCATATTTTCTCATCTTTTCATCATTTCGAATGAGACATTGTAGTATCTACATTTTTGAATTTTTCAAAACGTTGTATGATATATATGTAATATAGATATTACTTAAATATGTAATATATTTTTTATGATTGTGAAAAACTGAAAATTGAATTTTAAAAATGTATTCTATTACAAATTTAATTACTGATACAATTAATTATATTAGTAAATCAATGAAATTTTATTTAAATATTCTTTTTTAGATTATAGATGCAGATTCATCAGATTTATGTATATATGAATAGATTTTTCAACCATTGAAAAAACAAAGTATTATATTGATAGGTATTAATTCCTTTTATAATACTACTAATGATTGAATTAATAATAATATAGAACTGATCATATCTTTTCATTAATTTAGTCATTGAAATGTTGATTTTTCAAATAACACAGATAGTCCAAAATGAATTCTGTTTTGATTCCCAACTTACGAAATGAATTGATTTTTATCTCATTTTTGTTCTAAAAAAAAAGTATTATTGAGAAAGATTTCACTTTTATATCACCAATCTTGAGCTCTTTTTCAGATTTAAAAGATAATCTTTTTCTAGTTTTTTATATTTTTTTTAATTTTGTATAAAAATAACTATATTATGTATGATAATTATACTTTGATCTTTATGGAAATTAAATACTATCTTTTATTAAAGATTATATATATATATATATATATATATACAAAATATGTATTGCATATAAATATATTTTTGTACTCTTTTCTTATTCATTTCCAGCACATTAAGCTAAATTCTTAAAGTAACTTAAGAAAGTAAATACTTTTATATACGAGTTGAAATGATCAGTTGTGTTATCTAAGCTTATATAGATTCATTACTTATGTCGCAAATTTTTCGCAAATCTAGGTTGCTTTCTATAATTTGTTGTAACTTCGTGACTTATAAGCAGGGCTCGGTTTTATTTCTAATAAATTTATTTAAAATATATATTTTAAATGAAGAAAAAAATTAAAACGTTATTTAATATTTATTATTTTAAATAACTTCTGCTGACCTATTTTTTACTTAATATTTTAAATAAGTTCTTGGAATCTATTTTATATTTTTTATTTCAAATAAGTCATATCAATTACTTTACCGACTCTTACGATTTTATATTTTAAATAAGTTTTTGAAACTTATTTTTTATTTTTTATTTTAAATAAGTCGAATTGGTTATTTTACCGAGCCCTGCTTGTAAGTAATTTCCATAACGTTATAATTCATCGTGGTTTGTAGCATGGCTCAATACACAAGCCCGCCTCGCTAAATTACTATAAATTACTTGATCGACTACCCCGGGTGCGAACAGTATGCAACAAACCTGGGGCAATTATCTTCGTTATACAGAACACGGGGCGAATGAAAGAGCATTAAACTGTTGGAATAATATAATAACGGAATGGCCACCCGGATGATCCCGCGCGACGTTTTATTTCTCCAACGGAGCGGCCGCGCCATGAAAAATTATAATTGATATGGACGGACCGGAAACCGAGGGGGAATAATCCGAAGGCGAATGCTCGTGGAAAGGTAGACGGCGGGAAAAGAATCGTCGGTCCGTTGAACTAGAATACAAAAGTCGGCTGGAGACTTATGAATTAAAGGATGTCGGTCTCGACCGTGCTACGAAACATTTCGTGGAAAAAAGAGACTCTTTTTCTTAACGAGAATGCACATTTCTAATTATTAACGTGATTAACAACCGCGTTGTATTATGATGTTTAAGTGCTGAAATAAAAAAATACTTCAATAGTTCAATTTAATTACTATGTATTCTATATAATTTTTAAATATACGTTTTAAAATAATGTATATAAATCACGATTTACACCAAATTCACGTGGCAAAATGACAACTTTATTTAGATAAGAAATTAACTATTAATTGTATTGCTATTACTGATTTCCGGACTATGTTAAAAATCGAAGAACAAAAAATAGACACACTTTAGGAATAAGTTTATGAAAATTATCTGTTTATACGATAATTTGTTGAATAAGAAATAAATTTTAAAAATAATTTTATTTGCAGCAACAGCATGAGATAATTTGATAGTGTAATAAATACGTGTAACTTAATAATTATTTTAATCTTATATACAAAGTGTTCAAGATTAGAAAATAAATGCAAATATCAAAACAAAACAATTTCGTAATACATGTTTAAAAAAACTTGTACAATATAAAAAGAAATAAATAATAATAAAATTATTAAAAAATTGATTTTTCACACATGAAAATTATCACCAATTTTTAAAACTTTTATTATTT